GAGAGACAGATGTACCTAAGTGAAAAAGAGTATAATGGAATAGTCAAGAGAGCATGCTTTGGACGTGGACTGCTTGTCTTCAGGTATCAAGCTGCTGCTTATTTGCTATAAAATGGAGATATATAGCTCCTAACAGGGCCTCCATTCACAGTCTCTGTTTTAAAGAATGATACGCTTTTCATTGTCAAAACTGAGTCTGTTATTTATTTCAGATAGCAGAACTTGTAGCAAGTGAATTTTTTGATCAAGGAGACAGAGAGAGAAAAGAACTCAACATAGAACCCACTGTAAGTATGAAACCTTGTTGGTAGGAATTCAAATGCATTGTTTTAAAGTTGTAGACTCCTTTTTATGGTCCTATGGCATCTTTCCTTAGGACCACAATTTCTGATTTTATTTGTTAAAACTTTTTTCTCATTGGAAGAATTATACATATTCATTACAGAAAGCAAAACCAATAAAAGGCATAAAAAAGACACTTGGGGTCATCATATTGTATCACTGTTTTTTTGTAATTTGTTTTTTCTGCTTAAGTATTATAAACCACTTTTCATTTTAACAAATACTCTTATGTACTATCATGATTACACGAAATAGATGTAACCATAATTTACCTACTTCCCTTGGTGTAATGTTTGCAATGTTCACTATTACAAACAGCACTGTGATAAACATCCATCATAGATGTTTCACTCCTACTCCTTGGTTCCTGCCATCAAAAGAATGTAATAAAGAAGCTGTGGCTGACAGGGAAAGGAAGGAGAGATACCAAAAGAAACATGGAGGAAAAAAGACCAGATGTCATGCCACTACCGTCTCCCCAGTTTTCTCAGTATTCTACTTGTTTACTCCTTTGTTCAAAGTTCTCCTCAGAAATGTGTTCACAGCAGTGTTTCATCTATAATAGATGTTTATCACAGTGCTGTTTGTAATAGTGAACACTGCAAACATTACACCAAGGGAACTGATAAACCACTAAACCTCATTCTTCATTATCTTGTTAGCATAAATTCCTAGTTGTCATGTTGAAGGGCAAACAGTATTTAAAGGTCTTTGATACATACTGCCTTTTTACATAGAGTATGGATCTCAAATACAAGTAAAGATTCCTCTCAACCCACTTCTGTTTTTTGGAATGAATTTCCTTGAAATGAAACATAAGAGTTTTCCTGTTTTCTTTTCTTTTCTTTTTTTTTTTTTTTTTTTTTTGGATTAATTCCTATCTGACCTTCCTAGGCTAACCCACTGATTCACCTTTCTAGAGCCAGCTTTCATTGTGTTCTTTAAATAAATGCTACACAGTGGCTCATGCCTGTGATGCCAGCACTTTGGGAGGCCAAAGCAGTCAGATCACTTGAGGTCAGGAGTTGTAGACCAGCCTAGCCAACATGGTGAAACCCCATCTCTACTAAAAATAAAAAATTAGCCAGGCTTGATGCTACACACCTGTAATCCCAGTTACTCAGGAGGCTGAGGCAGGAGAATAGCTTAAACTTGGGAGGTGGAGGTTGCAGTGAGCTGAGATGGCACCACTGCACTCCAGCCTGGACAACAGAGGTGAGACTCCATCCCCAAAAATAATAAAGTAATAACTAACTAAATAAATAAATGCACATCTGTGTGTTTGGTCTGTATTTGTATTTTCAGGATCTAATGAACAGGGAGAAGAAAAACAAAATCCCAAGTATGCAAGTTGGGTTCATAGACGCCATCTGCTTGCAACTGTATGAGGTATTTATATGAAAACTACTAGACTTGCTAAACTTGGACTGTTATGAATTAGAACCTAAAGTAAATTGAAGAGATTAATATTAGGTGCCTATTTTTTGCTTCTAAATCAAGAAATAAAATTATTACTAGTATGGTTTCTTTTACTGATGAACATGTTTGTACTGAACAAGGAACACATACTAATATCTATTGCGTGCCTACTATGTGCTAATCTCCAACAAATTGATTTGGGGATGCTAAGAAGAATTATGTGCCAGTATTACCCTCAAGGAACAATACTGTATATACTGTGGGTTAGCATATTCTTTTTTTAAGTCTAAATTTTAGCCTAAATAAAGAAAAGTAATCCAACTTTTTCTCATTGTCATAATGTGGCTTTACTCTAGTTGTAAAAATTTTCTGAGGGTTAAAAGGAGGTAGGTAGAATATTGCAGGTTCCCATTTCCACGTATCTGCTGGCTTGGCTTCTGGGTGTGGGGGTGGTTATTGTAGGCAAATGGATTCTCCCTAAAACATCTAATTTATTAGTTTAGCTGTTTATGACTCGGATGCAGAAAGAAGAGGTTGTCTTTGTCTTTGAAAGTTTAAACAGAGAACTATTGTAAGTTTTCATTATTTGGAAAAAGAACATTTGTCATGGAGTTATCATAGAATGTCAAAACCAGGAAAAAAAAAAAAAAAAAACCTAGAAATTTTCTAATCCAGATGTTTCAGATTTAGTAATTGAACTTGTAAAGTTCATCTTCCAATGAGATAGATTATTTGTCCCAAACAGGTGGTTGGTGGGAGAGGTGCATCTACAGTCCAGTTCTCACTCCTACTCCAGGGTTCTCGCCATCAAAAGAATTTAATAAAGAACTGTGGCTGACAGGGAAAGGAAGGAAAGATACCAAAAGAACCATGGCAAAAAAAAAAAAAAAACAGGTGTCATGTGCCACTGTCATCTCCCCATTTTTCTCAGCATTCTACTTGTTTACTCCTTTGTTCAAAGTTCTTCCTCAGAAGTATGAAGTGTGTTCAGAGCATTGTTTCAAACACTTGGACATCTCATTCTTTCCATAACAGATGCTTTCCTTATTGATTGGATTAAGAGTTTCTCCATTAAAAATACTAATGGCTCTTTTGATTTTTCTCTATCCCTGTAAATACAGTCAACATAGTAATCACATCACCTATTATAGATGTTATCCTTCTACTATATATATGTATGTATGTATGTATGTATACAAGTATTCATTTTATTTGAATCTGCTGTTGAAAATTCTATGTGATACTGACATGTATTTTTAACATTATTACAGAAATAGTTATGTTCTCACTATAGAAAAATCAGAGGTCGGGCATGGTGGCTTAGACCTCTAATCCCAGCACTACTTTGGGAGGCCAAGGCAGGTGGATCACTTGAGCTCAGGAGTTTGAGGCCAGCCTGGCCAACATGGTGAAACCCCATCCCTACAAAAAATAGAAAAATTAACCAGGCGTGGTGGCATGCGCTTGTAGTCCCAGCCACTTAGAAGACTGAGGCAGGAGAATTGCTTGAGTAGGGGAGGAGGGGGTTGCAGTGAGCTGAGATCCACACCACTGCACTCCAGCCTGGGCAATGGGAGTGGAAACCTGTCCTAAAAAAAAAGAAGAAAAAGAAAAATCAGAATTACTGAGAAGCAAAAAGGAAAATAAATCCAGTTACAATCCACTACCCAGAGAAAACTATAGATAACATATCAATGTATATGCTTTATGACATTTTCATATACTTTTCATTTAACAATAATTCAGTAATTGCCTTTTGCAATCCATAATGTCATTATATCCATATTTTATGTATCAAATGTGTTTCTGTGAGGGTTCTTTTTTTTTTTTCATTCTGTGGGGGATTTTCCAGTGACAACCTATTGTTGAGTATTTGTAATTTTAAGTGTTTCACTATTAGGAAGAAATCTGAAATGAACATTCTCGTGGCTAAATATTTATGGCACTATAATTGGTACATAATAATGCCATACCGAATTATGAATCTTTATTATAATGTAATCCTGGATAAAAGCCTATTTAAGTACATTGTATGAAACCATTCCCTAGAAAAACACAAAAACTAAGCAGCTCCTGATGCAGTCACACTTAGGGAGAGCCAACTGTACTACACAGAAACAAAATGGCTTTTTTCCCCTAAAAGTGGATTCCACACAGATCTGCCTCCCTAGCACAGTAATGTTATTTTGGAATGTGTGTTTGCTCTGTCTCTCAGCATGTACTCCTTATCTGTAGTGTTTTAGAAGAATCATGTGTAAATGATCTGTGTATGTGCTCACACAGCTTGTGAAAATTTCAGCAGTGAGTCTGCTCATGAAATGAGTGGCCCTTTGTAACAGGCCTGTGGGAGAGGGCTTATTTCCTGGCTTCCCTCTAGCTGTTTGCTTTCTTTTTTTTCTTTAGGCCCTGACCCACGTGTCAGAGGATTGTTTCCCTTTGCTAGATGGCTGCAGAAAGAACAGGCAGAAATGGCAGGCCCTTGCAGAACAGCAGGAGAAGATGCTGATTAATGGGGAAAGCGGCCAGGCCAAGCGGAACTGAGTGGCCTATTTCATGCAGAGTTGAAGTTTACAGAGACGGTGTGTTCTGCAATATGCCTAGTTTCTTACACACTGTCTGGATAGTGTCTGTATTTGGTATATACTTTGCCACTGCTGTATTTTTATTTTTGCACAACTTTTGAGAGTGTAGCATGAATGTTTTTAGAGGACTATTACATATTTTTTGTATATTTGTTTTATGCTACTGAACTGAAAGGATCAACAACATCCACTGTTAGCACATTGATAAAAGCATTGATTGTGATATTTCGTGTACTGCAAAGTGTAAGCAGTATTCTTGCACTGAGGTTTTTTTGCTTGGGGACTATTTTAAATAATTGGTTTTTGTGTTTCCTGAATTACCATTTTTTCAAGACTGTTTGGAATCTTTCCTTTTTCAAAAGTAGGTTAGGAGCAAATTAACATACATTCTGTGACATTTAAAGGCTTTACAGGATAGTGAAAAATGGTGGCTGAGTGGATTTTAAGGAGAAATAATTGTATTTGTCAACAATGTCTTTTTTAAAAAGTTAAGGCACTCTGAAACAAACGGAAAGTACTATGAAACTGTATTGTAAAGAAAACATTATTTAATTGACTTGGCTGTTTTGTGAGAGAACAGACCAGAGAGAACTTTGTCATTTCAGTGCAGTACATTTTTCTAAAGGCTACCCATAAAATCACTTTCATCTCACCTACCTGATGCAAAGCAGGTGAAACCTTAGGAGATGATCCAGTCACTGACTTGATTGAGGGATAAGTGTGATCTAGAAATGGAATGGCCTTGGATGTCTGTCAGTGAAGAAAATGTTCTGTCAGAAGATCTCTCTAAGAGTTTTTTTTTTTTTTCCTTCTGAGCTTTCTTTTCAAAATAAAAGTGACAATTGGAGCATTGACCTGAAGTGAGACGTGACTATAGATAAGAGAGTACAAAATGACTCTTTTTCCTGTCAATTGAAATTTAAAGAAAAGTTTTAATTATATAAATAGCAAAGGGCTATTGCCAATACTAGGGTCAAAAATGAATTTGAGGAACAGTGGGTAAGAAACTTTATGCCTGAATAACATTTAGCAGTATTGTGATTGAAAAATTGCCATATTTTGATGTACAGGACAAGTCAACTGAGATCCAGAGAATTCTGGATGTGAATGCTAAACACTGGCCCTTAATTCATATTCAATGGTATTTTCTTCCCATAACATTTAGTATAGTTAACATTTTCTTAGAATTTGAGCCCATTTAAGTAGATTAATATTCTACATGTGTGCCCCTAAATACACATTTATTCAATATTGGAGAAATAGATAACGAATTAAGCAACTGGTCTAGGAAGGGAAAATTTATTTCAAATATGCAGGAATGTTTGGATTTGGGGAGAGTAGAAAGGAGAGATTTGCTTGATTTGTTAATTTCTACCTCCAACCCACAAAAAAAGATATTTGTTCTGCGTTTCTATCACTAATTTGGATAGAAAATTTCTTAAGCACATGGTAATGCAGCATTCTCAAGGACCTTTCGCCAAAATGTGTTTTCCATCTGTGTCCCAATTCCCCTAAATTTTGCCTAAAATTCAATATGTTCCTTAAGTTTTTAAAATTCTGAGTGTGTATATATATCTTGACATAATGCAGTTTTATTTTTATCATTCTTGTTAAAAAAAAACACAAAAAATAGAAGCAAACCCCATTGTATTGCCGTTATTTTGTATTTGGTAAAGGTTAATCTAGGAAGTTACCAACTGTTTAATGCTATATGTATTGTATACTTGTATTTTCAGGATATTTTATTTTTTTGCCATACACATAAAATTTGTAAGGTTGCCCCTTGGTGGCACTGGTATGTAAAATACACAGACTATCACTAAAATAATAGCTATATATACATACAGGTGTATACTTATGCATGCATACATAAATCCTTAGTATAGAAAAATTGCTTAAAGAATAGCAATCTTTAATAAACCTTTTTATTACATTGTGATTTAGCAGTTATGCTAAAATATGTACTTATACTTTAGTAGTTTGTTTGGTCCCCTCTAGTATGTGTCACTGAGAAATTTTTTGAAGACATAGTAGATCGTGTTTAGAGGCTTTGTATGTGTGTCATTTTAATAAGCAAGAAGATATATTTAGATTAGAAATGGTTTGGTCTGCCTTTGAATCATGTTTATTTTACTTTACTAGTTTAGACATTAAAAGAAGCTGGGCAATGCCTATTTTATTTTATTGTTGGATATTTCAGCTCATACAAAGAAGAATACTTCTTTAGAGCTGGTTAATTGGTTCAAATAATTTTTAATTTCCTTTCCAGTATCTTCTCAAGTTGGAAAAATATACATATAGTCCTCCTTCACCTTACTCTGTATTTACATTACCCATAACTAGCAAGAAGTACTTGTTCTAGATTTTTTGTTTGTTTAGTTATAAGAGAGTAACATGATACCATTTAATTTCAATTTTTAGCCAGAAAAGACCCCACTATTTTACTAACTTGTTAAAAGATATCTATGTAATTGCCTGGCCTTATGTTTTTCAGTAGATTAGACTGTGCCAATCACAATCCTGGGAGGATTTATGTAAGTCACTTAACCTCTGTGTGCCTAGACAAGTTATGCTTTTTTTAAAGGAGTTATGTTTGAGCAAAGCCTTTGTCTTCAAGCAAAATGTCACAGAAGGCAGCTACTTTATAAGCCCAATGGGCGGTGGAGACCACTGTCAGAAATGGGATATTAGCGTAAAGAGAAGGTGATGTATTCCCATGTGTCATTTCTAATGTTGAGTTTCCAAGACTGAACAAAGAGAATATATTTATTCAGCTTCACTTGCAGATCACTAGTGAATGTGAGATTTAGAGCTCACTGAGTACATTGCTTCAAGGTACAAACCCAGGATGATGATGTTGTCATCACTGTCTTTTAATTTTGAAGAATAGTTTCATTTAATAGGAGTATTAGAGATAAGAAAGTATATGAAAATATACTGGAAATATTGGATTCTTGGAGAAAACTGTTCAGTCACAGATATATTCTTGCCAAGCAGTGAAGTGCCTTTATTTTCAGCATAGCAAACAAATACCAGACCTGTTCCAATTTGATTTACAGTTTTTTTCCTGTGTTTTTCACCAGATTGTACTCCTAAAACTTAACAGGCTATCACAGGCAATTGTCTTTTGTTTACAAGATTGATTTAAAATGAGAGGATAAAAAAGCCATCATTATCCTCTCTTATGAATAACTGTAGTCAAAATAAGGTGGCACAATTTAATTGTTTTGTGTCAGAAATACATTGACCCGCCTTTTATTGAGTCCTGCCACATGTTAGGTACTGTGCTCAGCTGTGGAGACAGAGCAGTGACCTCAAGGAGCTCACAGTCCCTGAAGGAGGTCCTGGAGAAGAGACTTAGCTTCTGATACTGCCGATTTAACCTGAGAACATGGGGTATACTGCATCACTTCCATTTTCATCAATAACATATATTTTATGTACCTTCTTTACCTGAAACTTACTAAGAATCTACCAGTGAACAAACATCCTGTCTTCTTGCAAGTATGAATTAGTTAACCTGTTGATAGTTGAAGAACACTTTAGGAGTTTTGTATTCTTGTATATAGTTTATTTTTTCCATATGCTAGCCAGGTAAAGATTACACAGTTCTTCAGGACTGTTAAATTGTGCATGGTTTTGGACCCCTTCTGCTCTACTACAGAGAGCAAAGAAGAAAGTATTAAAGCTCACTTTACCATTCCATATACTTACTAAAAGCCTGTGTAAACATATCTTAATGAATGTTGTTGAAAGCAATGTAAATAGTTGAACATATAAATTTATATTACAGTTTAAGAAAAGAAAACCTTATGAGGCATCACTAGCCACTGTTAATATCTATTTGTATTCTTATACCTTTTCAATATATTTGAACAAATATAGTTTCTGGCACTATTTTTATACTCGGAAAAGGAGTTACTATGTATATTATGCTTAGCTTTTAAGTCATTTTAAATAACCATGAATGTTGATTTCATTTCTTTCCTTTCCTCCATCATGAGAGTCATTTCACATGACTCTTTTATGACAAAATCACTTTAAAGGAACAACTTACCTCCGATTCTTGTATAAAGTCATGAGATGGTCAAGGTGGTTTTCCGTTGTGCAGATTCTTCACCTGTCAGTGGTTTCCTCATTTTGCCATGCTTTGTAAAAATAAAAAGAGTGAACAAGTCAGTATGAATACTGTGTGATTATTAGGGGACTCTGAATTTTAAGTGTGGGGAATTAATAGGGGAGTTTGGATTTTAGGCAGGGAGAATGGGCCCAATAGTTTGAGAGACTTTAATCAAGCTAACCTGTGATCCTATTAGCTGAAGAAAAGTAATCCTTTCCTTAGCCTAGACTCTTCTCAGTAACAGTCTTCCTTTTATTAATACTCTTTGCTGCCAGTTTGGGGGCTATGTTTTCCATCTCCTTCTCACTTCAAGTCAATAATGACTCTTTGGAGGGTGATTATTACCAGCCTGATGCTACATGAGGAGCTGAGGCTTGGAGCTGAATACTTGACCAAATGGCATGAGCTGGATTTGAGCCCAGATCTGTCTAGTTGCAAATCAAGGGTCTATTCCTTAGTTCTCGTTTTGAATTTAAATGTATAAAGGTCTCAAATCTACTCTTACAAGTCAAATGGGCTATCTGGAAGCATTAGAGACAGGAATTCCCTCACCCAGCAGGTTTGGTTTGTCTGAGTTTTTACAGTTAACATTTCTTAATTTAGTTCATCTGGTAATAGCTAAGAAAATGCCTTCACAGAATCCAACACCACTGTATCTCAGTGCTTCTAGTCTAGAGGTGTGAAAGCATCAGTAAAAGCAGAATTTCTGATTTCATTATTTTGCCACTAGACAAGCCTTCTTCATGCGGGGCAGTGTACCTAGGTTATGTCTAATTCATAAAACTAAAGGAAGAAGTAAAGTATAAGCTCCTGTAGAACGATATTTTAGATTCTCTAACCACTAGAGAGTGCCAGAGCTTTAGTTATATTTAAAGAAGTAATCTTCCTTCCTGACCATAAAGAACTAATAAAACTTTTTTTTTTTTTAAAGATTTTTAGTGGCTAAAAAATCGCAGGCTGTGTACACCCACCCTGTGATACTGTTCCTAAAATCCAGGAAGGGACAGGACGGTAAGACTTTCCATACAGTAGGAGCTGTACACTCACGCAGGGATTTTGTTCCTAATATCAAGGGGGGGAGCGTAATATTACTCCCAATATGGCAAGGGGTGTACATCCCCCCGAGATATTGTTCTTGGCATTCAAAACAGGAGAGGATGACATGACTCCACATATCGAAGAAAGTGCAAACCCCCGTGTGATATTCTTTCTAATATCCAGAAAGGAAGAAGAGGATATTCATCCCCATATCACAGGAGGGGTACACTCACTCTGACATTTTTCCAAACATGCAGGGGCGAAAGAGGATAATCACATTCCCAATATCGCAGCAAGGGTTGTACACCCCCGTGTGAGATGGTCTTTCACAATGTTCCAAGGCCGAGGGTATATTACTACATATATGGCACAAAGTGTACACCCCCCAGGGATATTGTTCCCATAATCCTGGAGGGAAGGGGATGATATTACTTTAAATATCACAGAAGGCGTACACACCTCCAGTGATATTGTTTCTAATTTCCACGTGGGAGAGGAGGATATGACACCCAATATCGCAGGGAGTAGAAACACTGCTGGGATACTATTCTTAATATTCAGGGAGGAAGAGGATGATATTACTCCCAATACAGACAGGTGTACACCCTCTGAGGGTGTACACACTGAGGGTGTACACCCGTCTGTGAAAGAGTTCATAATTTCCAGAGGGGCAGATGATATTATACTATTGTAAACAGGCTGAGTCCACCATGGATCGTAATAGCCAGCAGGGAAGAGGGGGTGGCTATTTCTCCCCACATCGCGGGGGGTGCCTCACAATATCACAGTTGGGTGTACACTCCCTGCAGTACAAAGAATATTATTATTTTCTCTTCCTTTAGCTCTTGAGAGCAATATCACATGGCGGGTGGGGGACAACCCCTGCACTATTGGGAGTAATATTCTCTCTTTTTCTGGATAGTAGGAACAATATCACAGGCGGGATGGACAACCCCCGTGATATTGAGAGTAATATCATCCTCTCCCAACGTGGATATTAGGAACCATATCACAGGAGGCGTGTACACTTCAATATTGGTAGCGATATCATCCTCTCCTCCCTGGGTATAAGAAACAATGTGACAGGCAGGGTGGACACCCCCCGTGACTTGGGGAGTAATATCTCTCCCTGGATATTAGGATCCACGGTGGACACACAGCGTGTTTACGATTTTGTGAGTAATATCATCTCCCCCTCTAGACATTACAAACAGTATCAAAGACGGATGTACACCCTCTGCAATATAGGGAGGAATATCATCCTCTCCCCGTCTGGATATTAGGAACAATATAGGAGTGTTTATAACCCCTGCGATATTGGGAGTAATATCATCCTCTCCCAGGTGGAAATTAGGAACAGTATCACCAGGGGCATGTACACCCCCTGCGATATTGAAAGTAATATCATCCTCTTCCCTCCTGGATCATGGGAACAACATCACTGGGGGGTGTGCACTTTCTGTGATATTGGGAGTAACATCGTCTTCTGTGCCTTGGAATATTAAGGACAATATCACGGGGGGGGCGTGTACATCTTCTACAATATTGGGAAGAATATTATCCTCTCTCTCCCTGCATATTAGGAAAGATATCACAGAGTGAGTGTTCACCTCCTGCGATATGGGGATTAATACCATCTTCTCCCCTTCCGGATATCAGGAAGAGTATCACACGGGGGTGTACAGTGTCTGCGATACTGGGAGTAATATCAACCTCTCGGCCTTGGAATATTAAGAAGAATATCACAGGGTGGATGTACACCCCCTGCCATATTGGGAGTAATATCAGCCTCTCCCCTCCATGGATATTAGGAACAATATCCCAGACTGGGTGTATGCCTCCTGCTCTACGGGGAGTAATATCCTCTCCCTTCCAGGATATGAATAACAGTATCACAGGGCGGGTGAACACAGCCTGCGATACTGGAATTATTATCATCCTCTCCCCCTCCAGATACTAGGAACAATATCACAGAAGAGCTGTACCATCCTTGTGATATTGGGAGTAATATCATACGCTTCTTCCTGAATATTAGGAGCAATATCACCAGGTGGCTGTCCATTCATTGCTATGTTGGGAGTCATGTCATACTCTACCCTCCTAGATATTAGGATCAGTGTCACAGGGTGAGTGTACCCCTACTGCGATATTAAAACTAAAATCATGCTCTCCGTCCCTGGATATTAGGAACAACATCACAGGTAGCTGTACACCCCCTGTGGTATTAGGAGTAATAATATGATTAATTATTAAACATCAATGATCAATTTTAATAATTATCAATGATACTATTAATAGGATACTATTGTTAATTATGGATAATTATTTTAAATATACGATTATGCACATTTAAAATTATTATTGTCATTTAACAATATTATTAGTTCTTAATATTATTATTTTATTACCAACATCACTTAGTATTGATTTAAGTAACATTAATTATTGATATCATTTTATTATTAATAGTGATATTACTGTTATTAATACTAATCGTTAACATTGTTAACCAGTATTAATTTTTACTATATTGTGATTATTAATATCGATGATTACTATTTTATATTTATTAATATTAATTAATAGACTTGTTCCTGATATCCGGCGGGGAGAGGATATTACTCCCAATATTGAAGAAAGTGTACACCCCTCTATGATGTTATTCCTAATAGCCAGGGGATAGAGGATGACATTATTGAAACTATCGCAGTGGGTGTACATCCCTTCGGTCATCTTGTTCCTTATATCCCGGGTGGGAGAGGATGATATGACTCCCAATATCGCAGGGGGCGTAGACCTCCCCCGTGATATTGTCCCTAACATCCAAAGGTGGAGAGGATGATATTTCTTTCGATTTCGCAGGGGACACCACCCCTGTGATATGGTTCCTAAAATCCAGGGGGCGAGAGGATGATATTAGTCTCAATATTGCAGGAGGTGTACACTCCCTAGAGATATTGTTCCTAATATCCAGGGACGGAGAGGACGATATCACTCCCAACAGAGCAGGGGGTGTACACCCCCTTGTGATATTGTTCCCTCTATCCTGGGAGGGAGATGATGATACTAGTGGCAATATCGCAGGGGGTGTACACACCCACTGTGATATTGTTCCAAGTATCCAGAGGGAGAGAAAATGATATGACTCCCAATATCACAGGGGGTGCACATTCTCCTGTGATATTGTTTCTTACATTCAGGGGGAGAGGATGATATTACTCCCAATATCGCAGGGGTTGTACACACCTCCTGCGATATTGTTCCTAATATCCCAAAGGGGAGAACATAATATTTCTCTCAATATGGCAGGGGCTGTACACCTCCTTTGTAATATTGTTCTTAATATCCATGATGGGAGAGGATGATATGACTCCCAATATCGCAGCAAGAGGTGTACAGCCGCCTGTGATATAGTTCCTAACATCTAGGTGGGGAGAGGATGATATTACTGCCCATACTGCACGACTTGTAAAACCCCTTCGATATTTTCCCTATAATCCTGAGAGGAGAGGATGATATTACTCCCAATATCGAGGAAGGTGTACACCCCGCTGTGACACTATGCCCAATATCCACGTTGGCAGACAATGCATTATGTCCAATATCGCAGGGGATGTACACCCACCCTGGGATATTGTTCCTTATATCGAGAGGGGGAGAAGATGCTATTGCTCCCAATAACGCAGGGACTGTGGCTGTACACCCCTCCTGTGATACTGTTCTTAATATCGTAGGAAGAGAGGATGATACTACACCCAATATCGCAGGGGGTGTACACCCACCCAGTGAAATTGTTCTTAATGCACTCCACCTCCCACCACCAGGGATATCGTTCCTAATATCCAGGGGAAGAGAGGATAACGTTATGCCCAATATCCCAGGGGAGTGTACACACCCTCTGTGATGTTGTTCCTAGTATCCAAAGGTAGAGATGATGATATAACTGGCCATATCACATGGGGTGTGCACCCTTCTGTGATATTGTTTTTGACAT